GTGGCCCCTGCCTGAGGCGGCCTAAATGCTGGGCAGATCTGCACCTCTCAGCAGCACCTTCGGGGAGGCAGCAAAGAAAGCTACTCAGATCAGTAGCTATAAAGTCGGGAAAGCAAGACTGAAAAATGCCCAGGCCACCCAACCTGAAGCTTTATTTTTATTTCTACTTTTGTCACTTGAGTTTCCCCCTCCTCATTTTCTCCCGGTGAGAACTGGAGGGGTCCCAGGGGCCTTTCCTCTTCATGTCATTCACATCCTGGGAGGGAGTGTCCTCACCCGGGTGTCGTCGGAGGGAGGGACAGTCTGGTTTGGGAAGATGCTGATGGTCTGGGGGCAGGAGGCTGACTTGGTGTCACACTGGCCAGGTCCTGTCATCTCAGAGAAGGGGGGGCAGGGAATTAGGTTTTCTGCAGGGCCTCTCTCCTCGGCAAACATCCTCTCCGCTGCCCAGTTACTGTTCTGATGGAAGGTTTTGGTTGTGGAGTGGTGGGACTCACAGAGGTGGGAACAGGGGCACCTGGTACCTCCTCAGGGCCTTCCCAACTGGGGGGGTGGCAGATGGTCACTGCCTGCACCCACATTGGCCACTTAAAAGGACACCATTCCGTGGGACCTAAAGGCTTGAGGCAGGGGACTCCCAGCCTGACAGCCGAGGCCTGGTCTCCCCTCCCCCTGTCCGCTGGTCCATGCACCCAGAGAGTGAGGACCAGCACTGGGGGGGTTGGGGGGGCTTGGGGAAGAGAAAGCAGGCAGATCCACGGGGTCCCAGCCCTGCTTCCCTCTCTCCATAGTCCGTTCATCCCTGCGTGGGTATCAGGGTAGCTCAGAGCAGGCCCGTCACCAAATCAATCCCAGGCGACCAAGGCGACTCCCGGCTGTTCCTCTGACTTACAGTTAGAAGGTGTCTCCCGGGAACTGGCTTCTGCTCTGGGCTTCGTGTTGGGACCTGCGCTCAGAGTGACCCCCCCCCCAAAGTGCTCACAGTAACTTCTCCCAGGTGCATTAAAAGATTCCCCGGCATTTTAAAAAATGTTGGAAACACATTTGAGGCCGCTTTTGACGTGAAATCGTTGATCAGAGTGGTCCCGAGCTTCCTGCCCCTCGAGGTCCATTGAGTGAGAAGCGTTTCTCACCATGTCCCTGTCGGGAGAGCTGAGGACAGTTGGGGCTCAGCGGTGTTGCTGGACCTCCCGCCGGTCACGTGCCGATGCTAGGCCCTGGGAGGGACTCAGAGACGCGGGACACATCTGTCCTCAAAGAGCTGATCACGTGCTCCGGGAGACAGACAAGGACACTGTCCAGACAAAGTACCAGATCGTAACACCAAACGCTTCCCTGTCCTCACGCCAGGGACGTGCAGGGGCCCCTCATGACAGGGCAGGTGACCAAGGAGACCTTTCCGTAGAGCAGCGATTCTCAACCTGTCTTGTCTCCCAGCACATAAACTAATTACTAAAATTCTGCGGCACACCAAAAATTATACGTTTTTGCCGATCTGACAAAAAAAAAAGGTATCATTTTGATTCAGTCACGCTGGACGGCTATTCTGTTGGCTGTTGTCATTTTTTTATTTGACAATCCAAGGGAGCAGAGGTCAGTGCCCCTGACTGGACATCCATGTTTTAAAAAAAATCTTGCGTGCCCGGCCGGCGTGGCTCAGCGGTTGAGATCGGCCTGTGAACCAGGAGGTCGCGGTTCGGTTCCCGGGCAGGGCGCAGGCCCGTGCTGTGGGCTCGACCCCCAGCAGGGGGCGCCCAGGAGGCGGCCTACAGATGATGTTTCTCTCACCCTCTCCCTTCCTCTCTCTAAAAATCAATAAAAATATTTTTTTAAAAAGAAAGGAAAAAATTCTTGTGGCACGCAGGTTGAAAATCGCTGCCATAGAGGGAACACGCAGCCGAAGGGACCGGGTGGCCAGGGAGGTGGAAGCAGTGGGTGCCCTGGGCGGGCCTGAGCAGGGGGCGGGTGAGGGCAGGGACCCCAGGACACCCGCGTAGCCGAGAACTCGGCCGGAGGGCGGTTTGGGTCTTGGCCTCCGCCGGCTCCCCCTTCCCCGGGTTCACGGCCCTGCCCTTGCCCCCCCAGTGCCAGCACGGTGGGCAGCTTCAACCGGCAGTGCCTGTCCTGCGAACTGGTGGGCAACTGCACCTACTTCAGCGCGTCCTTCAGCCACAGCGCGGACTTCTTCCTGCTCACGTGCGAAGGTGGGTCCCGGCCTCGGACCCGCGTCTCAGTCGGCGCCCATGTGTGTCTCTCCCCTCGATGTTTCCCTCTCCCGGCCTCCCCTCCCTCCCCCTCCCGTCCATTCTCTCTAAAAATCAATGGGAAAAAAATACCCTCCTTGGGTGAAGATTTAAAAAAAAAAATGTCCCGTGAGCTAGTTGGGGCAAGTGTTTTACACACCGATGGGCCCAGGCCCATAAAGGTAACGAATCAATGTCAAGGGTGGGCCTCCTAAGTGTATTTAAGGAATGAGGTTAGATGAAAGGGGTATCAGACAGGAAAGCGAATGTTGTCCTGGGGCCCAATTCGTAGATAACTTATCCCCAACTTCAGAAAGGAAAGGAATCTTCTAAAAAGACATAAACCTGGCCCTGGCCCGGTGGCTCCGTTGGTTCGGACGGGAAATTTTGTCCATTAAATCTGATGTCCGTTCAGTCG